ACACAAGAACAATTTCATTGTGAAACAAACCTGAATCATGATATTGTTCAATGAAAAAGTTTGCATGCATCTATCATGTATAATCATTATGCACAGTAGTGTTATAAAAACTTTTTTATAACCCTCTCGCTTTATATTTAAAATATATAAAGTATATACATACTTTAGGGGCCTCCCCGGTGGCGCAGCGGTTGAGCTCCGGGTTGCGAAGCTGCCCGCAGCCTCTGCAGCGCTGGTTTGATCCCCGGCTGCTCCCCGGCCACCAGAGGAGGGTCCCACATGGCGTGCAGACCTCTCCTGCCGCCCGCTGCTCCCCCCAGAAGTGTGCTTTGGTCCTTCTGCCTGCTCTGCTCCCTGCTCTGTCTCTGGTGAATTCTCTCACCCTCCCGCGCTTCTGACTGTGCCCAGTGCTTGTATAAACAAAACAAACAAACAAACAAATAAATAAATAAATAAATAAATAATTAAAAAAAAAATAAAGTATATACATACTTTATATGTATGTAAAGTATATATACACCACAGATTTCTCAATTCTGAAAAATACTGCACAGAGGAACTTTTACAGCATACAGGTTGTAGAAACCCGTAAGATAAAATGTAATTTCGAGTAGTGTCAAATCCATACAAACACCAAATGTAGTCAGCAGTCTGAATGAATAATATAAACTATGAAGTATTATTCAAATGCATATTTATCCCTTTTGCCTTTTATCCACTTTCCCCTTCCCTAATTCAGTTGTATGTTGTTTTATTTAGTTCACTTGTTTTGGTTTTTCACATGCCCTATGTAAGTGAAATCACACGGTGTTTGTCCTTCTCCACTTGACATGTCACTGAGCATAATACCCTCTGGGTCCATTCACATTGTGACAAATGGCCAAATTTCATCTTTTTTCAATAGCTGAGTAGCATTCCATTGTGTATATAAACCACATCTCCTTTAGGCAATCATCTGTTAGTGGGCACTTAGCTGATTTCCTGCTCTAGTTCATTGTACGCAATGCCTCAATGAACATGGAAACATATATATCTTTCTGAGTTAGTGTATTCGTATTCTTTAGGTAAATACTCTGGAGTGGGATAACTGGATCATACAGAATTTCTATTTTTAACTTCTTGAAAAATCTCCATGCTGTTTTCCTTCATGGCTGGACAAATATACATTCACACCAATAGTGTGCAAGGGTTCCCTTATCTTCATATTGCCTCCAGTACTTGCTTTTTCTTAGATATGATGTGTTCATCATTATTCAGTTTAAAATATTTTCTAATGTTTTTATTATTATTATTTTCCCTTTGACATAATGATAATTAAAATTTGACAGACATTTTGAAGCATGTTTATAAACGTATTTAGAAGTTTTTTAGATTTTTTTGTTATTTTTAGCTTAATTCTACAGTGGTCATAAAATATACTAGGACTTATTTCAATATTCTAAACTGTGACCCAGGATATTGCCAATATTGGCAAGTTTTCAAGATACACTTGAAAGAGTCTGTATTCTAACACTGTTAATTGTAGAGTCTCATATATGTCGGTGAGTCTCATATAATCTTACTCAGATTGATTTTATCTTTACTGATGTTTGTTTTGTTCTATCACTTTGTAAGAGGTATGTTTAAAATTTCCTAAAATTTTATATATGTTTCTATATGTTATAATTAGTGGTATATTTTGGTATTTGGGTTTGTCTACCAATTAATTTATGTTCAAATAAAATAATAATTTGATTTCCATTGTTCACCTTTACGTGCTCCTTTTTTAAAACTTCTTTTTTACCTTGCTTTTAATACGCCTTTTTTTTTTTTTGAGATAACATTGATTTAAAACACCATACATGATTCAGAAGCACAGAATCTCACTTCTCAGATGTGTCACCATACCACACCCACCACCAAGACACCCTAGTCCTCCACACTGTCCATTATAAACATTATTTTTATCATTTTAATTTCCCAATCTTTTATCACCTTTTATTTGTTCTGCCTTTTAAAATTATTATCTTGTGGGCCTCCCCAGTGGCACAGTGGGTTGAGCGCAGTGCTGTGAAGCTATCCCAGTCTCTGCAGCACCAATTCGAGCGCCCGCTGCTCCCCTCAGCAGTGCTTTCAGTCCATCTGCCTGTTCTGCTCCCTGCTCTGTCTCTGGCAAATCCTCTCACCCTCCCACACCTCTGGCCTATACCCCAGCTTTTGTATAAATAAATAAAATCTTTTTTAAAAAATATTATCTTGAATTTTAGTTTTATTATTATTATTTTTTGTGTTCAATATTCATTTAGTTTTATGTGTGTCTTGCCCATTCTTTTCATCTTCATTCCTACCTACAATTTTATCTTCCCAACTGGATTACGACCAGTTTTCCTTTGCTTGAAGAGCTCCCTTTAAGTGTTTCTTCTAGTGCATTTCTGTTCATGACAGAGTCTCTGTTTTGTTTTGTTTTTTTTCTGCCTGCTAATGTCTTCATTTCACCTTCACTTTTAAGATAATTTTGTTTTGTCTAGAAATCTTAGTTGGCAGTTTTTCTCTTTCAGCTCTTTAGAGAAATCATGTCACAACCTCTGTCTTCTATCCGTTCTGTAGAAGGAAATGTGTCATTTATTCTGTGACTGGTTTTAAGATTGATTCTTTATTTCTGGCATTCAGCGTCTTTTTTACAATGTACCTAAGTTACTTTTGTTGTTATATAACCTACTCTATGAAGTCACACTTTATGTGTGACTTTATGTTACAGTTAATGTTACACTTTATGTTACAGTTAATCCTGTAACTTTATGTCCTTCAGCATCTTTGGAAAAATCCAGCCAATATCTCTTCACGTGTTGCTTTTGGTCCACTCTCTTCCCCATCATGTTATTAAATGTTGATATTATATTCTTTCATTGTTATTAGTTTTTCACTTGTTTTGATATTTGCTACTGACCTCTCTCTCAGATCACAAAATCGTAGTTGAATTTGGTCTGCCATTAAACCCATTGCCTTTAAATTTTAGTTATCATACATTTCTTTTCTGCAATTGCCACTTGGAATTCTTTATTTCGTCATGTATTTTCTTGAATACATTAATAATCACTGTTATCTTACAGTTAGTGACAGCACCAATATTTAGACCAAATGTATATCTGTTTCTGTTATCTATTTTTCCCTTGTTCCTGCTGCTTGCCGCACATGACAAGTTTGAATTAATGTGGGCATTACATATGAGAATTTTGATGATCTGGATTATGTTTTCTTCCTCCTGGGAGGTTTCTTGCTTGAAGAAGGGTGGTGAGTTATCTGAACCCAATGAGAATTTGAGTCAACTTGAAAAGCTTTTATGATCTTTGTCTGGGGCTTCTCTTTCTTCCCCAACTACTAGGGTTAAGCCATTTGGGTTGCAACTAAATGTCCAGGGTGCTCCTTAGTTATCTATTGAACAATAAGTCATGAATTCCTGAATATGCTGAGATTTTCAAGACTTTCACTGTAGTTCTTTGCTGCTTTTGGCTCCACTTGCTAGCCTTTTCTCCTACATAGCTTCCTCAATACATGTCTTAAGAGGACAGCCAATATTTGATATTGGCTACTCTCCTATATGTCAGTCATATCTCAGGAATATTGGCTGCCTTACATCTTGGCTCCCTTAGCAGTCCCAAACCACAAATTCTGTATTTGTACTCCTAAGTTTGCTTAAAATTCTGATGATTTTTCTGACACCCATAACTTTGTAAGCCAATGCACATCCCTGAGAATTGGCAAACTCCAAATCCTATGACAGAAAGAGTGGTATCAACTACTTTCTCAGCTTTCTTCAGTGTAGATCCCCATGTCCTGTCTGATTCATTATCTCATATTATTTTTTCAAGTATTGATAGTTTCTTTTTGTTTTTGCCCAGTTTTTCTAATAGTTCTTAAATGGATTATTGGCTACTATAAGCCACTCTATTGAGCTAAAAGCAGATTTATATACTCAGGTTTTCTTTTCTATATATCCTTCAGTTAACCAACGAGTTCTGAAGATTTTATTGTTGTTTAACCACTGTGGATCTCAGGACTAAATGTTTTTCCAGGAGTAAAAGATATTCTTAAAGGAACTAAGTCCTTAAGTGCAGCTATTGCTTAAGAGTGCCCACATGGAAGTGAGAAGGGACAAAAGGAAGGCCAATGTTTGCATAGGCAGAGGAGAATTTTGCCTTTGCAGCCTCCTACTTTTTTTTCCTATGCTGCCCTTTACCAAATCAATCAGTACAAATTTAACTCCCAGGGCATGGCATCTCAGGAGACATGTCAATATTTTGATTTAAATAGTGTCTTCCAACAGACACCAGTTACATAGATAACTATAAATGGGAACTTCGTTGGTCAGTCACTGTGATCCTATTCCAGGATTTCCTCTAAGGGCTTTGCTTAGCTTATCCTAACAGTGTTCCAAGCCCCAGACCTCTCCTGTCTCGCCCGCTGCTCCCCTCAGCAGTGTATTTCAGTACATCTGTCTGTTCTGCACCCCATTCTGTCTCTGGTGAGTTGTCTCAGCCCCTGCATCTGTCTGTACTCCAGCTCTTGAATGCATAAATAAATAAATCTTAGAAAAAAAATTTGTTTAATAGAAGAAAGGAGAAAAATTTGAATTTATATTGCCTTTTACAATTATATAACTATCTTAACTAGTGTTCTTTGTGTTTTCCTGTATGTTTCAATTACTCTCAAATTGCTTGCTTTCAGTTACTTGCTTTCAGCCTGAAATACTTTACTATTTATTGTAAAATGGGTCTGTTAATAACACAATTTCTCTGTGTTTTTGTCTATCTGGAATGTTTTTATTTTGCCTTATTTTTGAAATACAACTTTTCAGTATTTATGGCCCTGGATTGACAGGGTTTTTTTTTTTTTTTCCTTTGAACACTAAATATATTACTTTCACTACATTCTGCCTTCTATTGTTTCTGATGAGAAATGAGTTCATAATTTTATTTGAATTTCTTTGTAAGTGACAAGACATTTTTCTTACTGCTTTCAAGATTTTCTCAGAGATGACACCAAGATGACAACAGGGGGCATTCTCTCTCACAAAAGCATCGGTTATTGAGGAAGAGAACAACACTGAGAGAATCTTACAGTATCTCCACCTCAGAAACCAACACTGACTGCCTTAGAAGGGATGCCACAGACATCCACACATCTGTGTGACAGAAGGTAGGTATAAAGAAATGCACAGAGACAATGGTCTGGGGGACAACAGAGATCACAAGGCTACCAGCCCAACCCAAGACTCTAGGGAAGGGAGAGTAGATATGGTACAGAGACCCACATCTTTGGTCCATGTGAAGCCCATTATGGAGGAAATGAGGTGCTCTACATCGAGTAGGAGGACCCAAACAAAAAGAACAACAGGGAAAGCACTGTAGACTACATTTACCCTCTCCTAGCCCATAGGATCTGTACTGGTACCATGAACTGAACTAACAGTCAATAGGTTGCTAAATCTCAGATCTGGGACCCCAAAGATGAGGAGTTACAGCAATGCACACCAATCAGACATCCCCTAGTATATCCCCACAACATCTAACCCCCTCTGTCCCTTTTCCCCACCTCACTCACATAGCAAAATCTCAACCACTACCTCCTTGTGGCACATACCGCAGTTAGCAGTAACCTAAAAAATAGATAAATGCAATCTTAGCACCATCTGCTGGAAAAGTAAAAGATAAATAGTTCAGTTCAAGTTGCTGATCCAGATCTTCAACTAGATCCAGAAATAATCAAAAGGGGGCCTCCCTGGTGGTGCAGGGGGTTAAGACGCAACCTATGAAGCTGTCTGTAGCCTCTGCAGCAGGAATTCAATCCCCCAGCCAGCAAGGGAGCAACCCACATGGCATGGCAGACCTCTCCTGAATTGCCCACTGCTCCCCTCAGCAGTGTACTTCAGTCAATCTGCCTATTCTATTCCCCACTCTTGCTCTCGTGAATCCTCTCACCCCCTACACCTCTGGCCTATACCCCAGCTCTTGTATGCATAAATAAATAAATCCTTAAAAAAAAAAGAATCAAAAAGTAGTAAACTTGTCTAATAGGCAGACAGGAGAATATACCACTAGGCAGCCTGAGACTTCAAGGTAATATGACATAGCAAAAAGAAAACAACTCTCCAAAATCTCAAATGACAAACATGTGGAAGATTACAACATAATAGATAACAGAATTCAAAATAACTCTCTTGAAGAAATTCAAAGAGATACAGGCAAACTCAAAAAAAAAACAAAAAACAGTTCATTGAGTTCAGAAATAAAATTGTTGAACAGAAAATAGAAATTGAAACTATAAATAAGAAACTAACAGAGACACAAATGCCCAAAAATAGATGACTGGATCAAGAAGATGTGGTACATATACACCATGGAATATTACTCAGCATTCAAAAAAGATAAACACATGCAATTTGCAGCAACATGGATGGCGCTGGAAGGGATCATGCTCAGCAAAATAAGCCAGAAAGAAAAAGAAAAATACTGGATGGTCTCACTCATAGCAGGAATCTAGAAAACTTACATAAGGGACCAGGAAAATGAATATCTATAAGAAAGTGAAAATCATAATCAACAAACAACTATGAACCAGAGACACTTTATGAGGGGAGGGGGGCGGGGGGGAGGGATTGGGGTCAAAATAAAGGGGTTGCAATTGTTTGGGGAATATAAAAATAAAAAAATTAAAATTAAAAATATATATATATAAAAAAATAAAAAAAAAAAGAGAGTCAGATGTGAAGAACTCAATAAATGAGATCAAGGGGGCCTCCCTGGTGGCACAAGAGGTTAAGCACAGCGCTATGAAGCAATTCACAGCCTCTGCAGCATGAGTTTGATCCCCAGCCAGCCAGGGAGCAACCGGCATGGTGCAGCAGATCTCTTTCGTCTTTGCCCGCTGCTCCCCTCAGCAGTGTATTTCAGTCAGTCTGCCTGTTCTGTTCCCCACTCTGTCTCTGATGAATCCTTTCAACCCCTGCACCTCTGGCTTGTACCCCAGCTCTTGTATGTATAAATAAATAAATCTTAAATAAATAAATAAAAAGTAAATGAGATCAAGGACACTAAAGAAAGCTATTGAAACAAAATAGATTTATTGGAGGCACAAATCAGTAAGCTCAAAAATAGAAACCTTGAAATGACCTGAGTGCAAAAAGAGAGAAATAACATTTTATAAAATGCCAAAAAAAAACTTATTAGAGCTATGTTAATTCATTAGAAAAGGTAATGTAGGATAATGAATATACCAGAAGGTGAAGAGGAGAATGGAGCAGAAAACTTACTAAAAAAAATAATAGCTGAAAACTTCCCAAACCTGAAGAAGGAACTGAATATACATGTTCATGAACTTGACAGAATATCTGGTTGTCTAAATGCAAAGAGACCAACACCAAGACACATATTAGTGAACTAGTACAAGTCCAAGATGAAGAAAGAATATTAGAGTCAGTTTTGGGGAGGAAGTTGGCAGGGAATGTGTAGCTAAAGGGGGTGGTGAAGCAGTTTATATATAAGTATATTCCCATCTGGCTATCATCAGACTTCTCAACAGAAACTCTATTAACCAAGAGAAAATATTTAACCTGTATAATTATCCCATTATTCCAAAGGCATTATAAGAGGCATTCTTGAGCTAGTTTTCTAGACCATTTCCTTACTGTTTAGTGTTGCATTGATTTACATGTGGCTATTGACTAGGAGTTTTCAAAATCTTACGTAATATTTTCTGTTTATTAAGTAATGACATTTGAAAGTGATAACATTATGCCAAATTGTTCCTTATTTTAGCAACACTGACATTCTCAAAATTTTATTTCCAATGGTCTCATCTCATGGGTTTTGACCTACAGTCATTGTCACTAAAGGAAAAAATAAATAAATGCTTTAATAGTTTTCTAATTACCTCCTCATGGAATGCTAAGATAAATATTAGAGCTTGGCTATATACACAAATCCTTAGTACTGATAAAAAAGAATTATGTGTTATGGAATCATTCAAAACATTTTGGTACTGCATCCTTTCACTTTTACATTTTGACTGTGCTCTCTACTCAGAATTCATTAAAAAATTAACAATCCATATATTTGATATAAAGACATACTTTGGTTTTAAATCCATTCTGTGTGTGAAAGAAAATAATTATTAAGTTTTATTACTTAATAAAATCCAAAGGGATCAAATTTCCTCTGTGCTTCATATTTTCTTTTAGAGCCAGTGAACTTCTGAAGATACAAAGTTAAACATATCTCTAATTGGTAAAAATGAAGTATTTAGTCAGGATGAGTATTATGTTTATTTTAGGAATTTACAATAATGTGATGGAGTTTAGAAGAATCTTCTCCATCTGTTGTGAAATTGCTCATGAGGAAAGCTAGTAAATGGAGTGGTCAGGCATATATAGTTTATATGTAGATGTCTGCACTTCCTTCCTGTTCCATTTCTTGCCAAGAAGTAAAAATGGCAAAAATCTTCCAAAATCTTCATGCCAACAATGTTCAGTCCTGTATGACAGCAGTTGCTCAGAAGATCTTTCAGAGGTAGAGAAAAAATTCTTAGGAATGATGCCAGATTGCAAGTGCAAGAATTTGAGGAGTCACTTAGTTGATAGCTAAGCAGTAGATTGTTTTCTCCTAAACTTGCAAGGATTTTTCAAGCTTTACTTCCATATATTAAAACATGTGAGGACACTTAGGAAACATATTTCACACCTAGTCATTTTTAGAATCTTGAAAGAAGTTGATGACTTGAGTATATGTAACCCGCTCATTAGAAAAATGGCAATTCAAGTGATCCTGTAACATAGCCTTTCTCTTTGAAGGAAAAAGATACAACACTCCCCAGAGCATGGCATCTGATAATACATTATACTTGTAGTGAGAAATTAAGCTGCACCAAAGAGAGCTAATGGAGCAGAGCAAAATCTTTAGAAACAAGTCCCTTTTTGTTATTGTAGAGCTTTTGACAACTGTCTCTGCTTCCTTCTTAGTTTGTGGTGCATTAGCAGAGATAAAGAACAGTGCCTCTATAGCAACCTGTGAAATGAATAGGTCAGTTACTCTGGACTAAATTCAATGCAATTTGCAGTGGGTAAATTCTTTGCCCCCCTGTCCATGTGCCAAATTTTGCTAGACTCCTTCAGTCAGGAGAAATTAGTACACTAGCACATTAGTACACTAGCACATTACTTAGCAAATGTCAAACCATTTGGAAAGTAATGGTATTATAATATGGGTAAACAATAAATTTACATTGATAAATGTAAGTAACTAAATATTAACATTTGTTCAACTTAAAGACCAAATTAAAGATAACATGATATGAATTAATTTAGGAAGACAGAGCTCACAAAAATACTTCATTTCAGAATTTGCATAGCAAATAAAGATTTTGATCCCTGCCTTTCCTTGCTCCCAGAATTGTAAAAACACAGAGAGCATTCCAAAACCTAGCTTGGTTATATATCTCACATTTCCCAAGATGGTGCATCTTGAATCCTGGAGGGAAATGCCTTGGCATTTTTTATTGTATAATCTTGAGTAGGTTTTTCTTCTGTTAGCATCATTGGTTTTTTATATAAGCAAATGGTGTGTCCAAATAATTGTCTTTTCTTCACATTATTAGTGGCATGCTTCTTTCTCATAAATATTGAATAAAGGGAATAATCTCAATGAGGAACTCTTAAATCAGTCTGGTATTTAAGCCCCCATCTCTACCATTATATTCTACAACATCAGCATCTTTTTCTGAGAATTCTTTCCCATTTTTATCCTTATCTCCAATTCTGGTTCATTCATTCAAATCATTGTTTAAAAAAAAAAAAGAATTATAGACTGAGGAGGCAGTTTTCAGTATTTAGGTAGGTGGTAAAAGTTTTTTGTGAGCTTGCAAGGCCTAAGTTGACCTCAACTCAAATAATCCACATGCTGAACTTAATACAAAGCTAAAGGACCTGCTGTCTAATGTGCATGAGGGCCAAAGTCCTAACGCCCACATTTTGAAAGGAAAGAGTTTATTTGCACAATCAATTGACAGAAAACAGGAGCCAAAACTCAAATCTGTCTCTTCATCTAAGAAAGGGAAGGAGTTTGAGAACAAATGAATTAAATTTTATTGACTAAGAAATGGGCTAAGGGCAAGGAATGTGAACTGGGCTGGAGTTTATTGGGGTA